CGTCTCAGGAAAGCATCCAGGTGTGGAGCCCTGCTCAGAACAGCCAGGGAGCAGGGCGCAGCCCGGTACCTGCGGGGGACATGCCGCTGCCACCTGCCCCTCTGCTTTGGATGACGGGGAGGACAGGAGCAGGACTCAGAGCTCTGCAGAGAAGCACCAGCCCGCAGCCTCTCCACAGCCCAGCTCCTCCGGGAGCTGCAGGAGCGCTCCCCAAGCACCAGAGCACCTCTGCTCCCTGCTTCTCATCAGAAACATTGAGTGGCCATCACCAGGACAGCCCGAGGCTCGCTGCAGGCTGGTGTTGGCCCTTCGCCCCGTGGCAGTATCTCAGGGTAAGCACGATGGACCGGGCTCCCCGCTGCCACCCCTGCGAGGGGCAGGGGGGCTGCTGCCTGCCCCGGGGTGCGGGCACGGCGCTGGGCAGTGATGGGGCCAGGGCCGGCCTCGGGCAGCAGCTGAGCCTCCACGCTCCTCCTGGGGCAAGCCGGGACTGTGGCTGATGCTGCACAGCTCCACCACCATGCCCTCCAGGTTCGCACTTGGCTCCTGAGCTGGCGGCTGGGCACAGCCCGGGCGAGGGAAAGAGGCAGGGGATGGAGGTGGAGGTCTGCCGGGGGAAGAAAGGCAGCCAGCAGCTGCACAGGAAACCAACCCGGGGGCAGAGGGGGCAGAATCAGCCCCTCGGCACCGCTCTGACCATGGATGAACCCTGCAACAGCCGCTCCTGGGGCCTCAGTGTCCCCGTGCTCCGTCACTGCAGACGTGGGGGCGTTTGCCCCAGCCAGAGCTGGGCACCCCGGCACGGCCTGGGCTGCCGGAGTCTTTTTTTTTTGTCCTTGTAGAATGGCAACTGTGACCACGACAGTGTTCGGGAGTCTGTTTTAGGCTAGGGATGGTTAGTGCATCTCCGCAGTGTACAGCCGAGACTTAGGTTTTTTCCTTTAAAAACAATGAATGTGTGTTTGTAATTTGTAAAGGTTAAAAAAAAAAGAAAAACAAACAAAAAAAAAATGTGCCAAAAATGTACTAAGCATTTCATTTCCCTTCATACATGTCTGTTTTTATAAGAACAATGTGAAAATTGCTGGGATTAAATATTTTTGAACATGATGAAGTACTTCCGTGGGAAGCCGTAGTGTTGGGTATAACCTTAATCCAACTCGTTCTGTATTTTTAGATCTCTGAAGTCCGTTTGCGGGGCTCTGAGCCACAGAGAGGCCAGCGGCGTGGCCTTGCTGCACCGCTGCTGTGGTGGCACGGGCGAGGGCTGGAGCCGGGCACCTCGCTGCGGGACCACGGCACCTCTGGGCACAGATCCCTGGGGCCGGATCCTGCCCTGGTGCAGCCCCCCAGTGTCCCCAGCTGCCCGTTCCCATGGCACGGAGCTCTGGTGGCCTCTGTTCACCCGGTGCCTTCCTGCCTAGGTGTGCTGGGACCCCCCCGGGACCCCCTGAGACCCCCCTAGGACCTCCCCTGGACCCCCTGGGACCTCCCCGGGATCTCCTGGGACCCCCGGGCTCCCCTGGGCGGTCCCCGCGGAGGTGCAGAGGGGCTGGGGGACCCCGGCTAGCACCGCCCCGCCGGGCGGGGGGGGGGCCGGGGACCTGATCCTGCCCGTGCCCTGCTCGCCCCGCAAGGCCGGCAGCCCCCCCCGGCGCCGATCCGCACCGGCTGCCTGCGGGCGGGGCTGCGGGGGGCTGCCCACGAGCCCCCCCCGATGGCCTTGATGGGGTGGGGGGCACCCACCGGGAGCTGCGTCCCCCCCAGCCTCCCCCCGCCCGGCTCCGCAGCGGCGGGTCCCGCGGTGCTGCAATGCGGAGCGGGCGGGCACGGCTCGGCGCGGGGCTGGGGAGGGGCTGGGGAGGAGCGGGGGGGGGCGGCGATGGTGCCCCCGGTGCGCCCCGGGGGGAGCCCAGCACGGCCCCGGGGTTCCCTGGCCCCGGGGGGCCGGGGGCGCGCAGCCCCCGTGGTGCTGGGGCTCTCCGCAGGGCACCCACCGGCCTGCCGGGGCTCCGCGCCCCCCCCCGCGGCCGCGCACCTCCCCGCACGGCGCAGCACCACGGTGCTGAGCTGCCCAAAAGGGCTTTTCGGAAAGGTCGCGGTGTGCCACCGGCTAATTGCTGCCTTCAGCAGCCGTCAGCCTAACGCACGGGAGGGCGAGGGAGCCAGAGCGCCATGCACAGCAACCCCCGGGGAGGAAGCTGGCGTTATTTTTGGGCAGAGATTGCAAGGGAATTCAAATGAAGGGGAAAAAATAAAAAAAATATATAAAAAAATAATAAAAAAGCCTGGATGCTGCCGTTTCTCCGCGGTGACGTCAGGCAGGAGCCAGCCCCCGGCCCCCGGCTCGGTGCAGGCGCAGCTCTGGTTGCGCAGCGCTCAGCCCCCGGCACGGCCGCGCGGGGGGGGTACGGCAGCAGCCGGGCCCTCGGCCCCCTCCTCGGGCCAGGAACCCGTCACCGGCTGGGGCTGGCGTTACCCCTGCCAGGGCAGAGCCAGGAAACGGCTTCGGGCTGGGCATGGTTAAAGAGCACAGAGCAGGAGGGCTCAGAGCTGGGGGAGAGCTCAGAGGTGGAGGGGGGGGCTGCAGAAAAAGCCACGCTCAGGATGCTGCGCGCTGCCCCCCTGCAGGAGACGTGCTTCAGGACGGAATCCCTCAGAAGCTGGTCTGGAGGGGGGGCAGGGGGCAGGAACCTGCAGATGTGTGGGTCTCCTTGGCTCGGGGGGCACAGGGAGGAGCCCCCCGGGAGCTGTGCCCCAGCCCCAGGTGCTCCACGAGATCCTGGCCCTACAGGTGCCGATGGCTGCAGCTGCATCCTGGCAGCGGCACAGGGGGGGCACCGCTTGGTGCTGCCCCCAGAGCAAACCTTGGGACCAAGGAGAGAGAATCACCGGAGCCAAGAGCTGCACCACAGACAGGGCTCCTGCCAGGGCATCTCCGGCAGGGCTGTGCCAAGCTCCTCCCGGGGCTGCTCCTGGTCCATTCGGAGCTGGGGCTGTGCCTGCAGCGTGACCCCTGAGGTCCCCAGACCCAGACCCACACGTCTGGCTCACGGGGCTGACATCTCCCCTGAGCTCCTGGCAGCAGTGAATCACCAGGCCAAGGAGAGAGGAGAGGAGCTGAGAGGGCGGGGAGACAGCAGTGAGGCATAAAACAAGGGAGAGGAGGCTGACAGCAGCTTTAACCCCTGGCTGCATCACTGCCAGCCCCGTGGGGGAGCACAGGACAGAGGCATCAGGTCCCTGCACCCCCAGCACGGGGCAGACGCGTGGTGCAGGATGTGTTACAAGGGACCTCTGGGCTGCCTGTTATGGGCTCAGCATTACTGGGGTACATGCACACCAGGGAGTCGGGATGAGACTCCAGTCCTGACACCCCCTTCTCCCCCTCCCCGGAGCTCTCCAAGCTGGGGAAGGGCTCCACAGCCAACTGGTTGCAGTGTGGGGAAGGGTCTGGCTGCACTGGGTGGTGAAGGCAGCCAGGCAACATCCTAAAGGAAGAAGAAAGAGATGGTCCTGAAGAGAAGAGGCTGCAGCAGAGCTGAGGACCAGGGCCTGGAGAGGACCAGCGGGGGGGCTCCGGCAGCAAGGAGCAGAAGAAAGTCATGGGAGCGATCCGGAGACCCACACCGAGAGGCAGCAGGCGCAGGGACTGCCGGCAGGAGGAGGCTGTGCCTGCAGGGAGCAGGCAGGAGCTGCAGAGCAAGGCTGAGAGGGGCCTGGGTAGGAGCAGGAGGGAATAAGCTCACCTTGCAGGGAGGGCCTGGGGAGGGAAACAGCAGGAACACAGAGGAGGAAAAATGACAGAAAACGAGGTGCAGCTTGGGTCTCCAGCACACGAGGCACGAGGCTGTTCAGGAGGCAGCACCCCGCTGCCGTCCGCCTGCTCCGAGCAGTGCCACGTGTGCGAGGTGGCTCCGCGTGGCAGCGGGCACGGCAGCGCTGCCAGGACAGCCGGGACTCCCCCTGGCATCAGCCCAGCACAGAGCTTCCCTGCCCCGGGGGAATGCCAGGGCTGGCACCTGGGGACTGGCACTCGCTGGTATTGCTTGGGTGAATGGGAAGTGGGTCGGAGGGGAAAAGAGCAAACGAGCAGGAAGCAGAAAGGCTCGAGACAAACCGTTGCTCCCCCAGCACTTAAGAGTCATTAAGGGACCCCCCAAATTGCCAGAAGTTTTATTTCCTCTCCAGCCAACCTGCAAAGTCGGCCTCTTCTTTTCCATGGGGCTAAAGCCTGCATGCATTAGAGATCAGTTTAGAAAAGGAACGCTTGGGGAGAAGGCAGTGCTGCCCCGCTGGGGCTGGCTGAGCAAGCTGGAGACAAGGGTGTGCCCTGTGGGGACAGCTCCTGCACCTGCAGCCGAGCGATGAGGCTGCCGTGGCCCAGGGAGCTCAGCCCAGGTCTGGCCTGCAGCGGGGTCAGGAGGTGCCTTGGGGCAGCAGGACAGGATCAGGAGATGCCAACAGCCAGGTCATCATTTACCAACCGAGGGACCCTCCTAACTGGGGGGCAGGAACCGGCTGTGAGCCTGGGGGGCCTCGCATGTGTCTGCCACCCCTCCTGGACTGCTCACACCCCTGGGTACCTGCATCCCAGGTGCTGCATCCCAGGTGCCCACAGCCCCAGGACCAGCACCCTCCTGCATCCAGACCCCAGCATCCTTGGGGACCAGCAGCTCCTGCAGCCTGGGCGCTGCCTCCCCAGGTCCAGGTCCCTGCAGGCAGCACTCCCCACACCCTGGATGCCCCCATCCCCGGTGCCAGCAGCCCCCCCACCCCAGCTGCCGCACCCCTGGGTGCCCGCACCCCCCCCCAGCGCATCTCCCTGGTGCCCTCAGCGCTGGATGCCCCCACCCCAGCCGCTGCACCCCGGCTGCCCGCACCCCGGGGTGCCCCCCCCGTGCCGGCCCGGCGCCCCCCGCCGCGCTCCATCCCCGGGTGCCGCATCCCGGCGGCGCGCTGCGGGGGCGCGGGGCGCGGCGAGGGGCGGTGCGGGCGGGCGGGCGGTGCCTTGGCCCGGGGCCCGCAGGCTGCCGCCCGGCGCGGGGCCGGCGGGGGCGGCGCGGGCCCCTCCTGCCCGGGCTGCTGGGAGTTGTGGTCCGGGGAGCGGCGCGGAACGGGCGCGGAGCGGGCGCAGGTCGGTACCGCCGCATCCCGGTGCGGAGCGGAGCGGGCGGGGCCGGGCGCTGCGGCCCCCGGTGCACGGCCAAGGGGTTTTGGGGGGGGGGGGGCACCGGCTGCGGGAGGCGGCCGAGCTCCGCGGAGGGGGGGCACGGCCCGGCACGGCCCGGCCCGGGGCTGCCGGGGGTCGGCGGCGGGCGGGGGGCGCACGGCGGGGCCGGGCGCTGCCGCCGCACCGGGATGTGGCAGCGGGGCACGGCCCGGCCAACCCCCCCCGGGGACGCGAGAGGGGTCGGAGCCCGGCTGCCACCCGCTGCCGAGCGGCCACCGAGGTGTCCCCGGCGGGCACGGCCGTCGGGAGGGGCGAGGCTGCGGCCGCCGGTAACGGCCACGGCCGAAGCCGCCCCCCCGGTGCTGCCCCCCGGTGCTGCCCCCCGGTGCTGTGCGGGGCCGCCCGCCTTATGTAACGCCGCCGCTGCCTGGCGCGGGGCTGCCCCCACGTCCTGCACAACTTCGGCCCCGCGGGGAGCGGGGCCCCGCGGCCTCGGCGTGCCGTGGGCTGGCGGTGACCGCCCCGTTCTTGGGGTCTCAGCCCGCGGGGGTGTCCCCGAGCCCCGTCCCAGCCCGACTGAGCAGCCCCCAGCGGGTCCCGGCGGGGGCTGCGGTGCCCCCGGGGAGCTGCTGGTGGGACCCACAGCTGAGGCTCGGCCTGAGGCCACCCCAGGGGAGCCCGGCCCCAAATTCCCAGTGGGTCCCGTGTGCCTGGGGAGCTGGGTGGGGAGCTGGAGGGTGCAGGGGCTTTGCTCCTTTCCTGCCCTGATGCTTTCCCCTTGATTTTCCCCATGTGAGGTGCTGGACACAGCCCTGGGGCAGCAGCGGGGCTGTGCTCGTGCTGGGGACCCCCAGGCTGTCGGATCCTGCTCCCCCCAGGCTCTCACTTCATCCATCAGCTTCAGCTTCTGAAGGAGAGCCGTGCTGCCGGGCTCCGTGTCAGGGCAGGAGAGCTGCTGTGAATACAGATGGCTCCTGGGCTCTGCCTGCCTTCCTGGGGCACGTTCTGGCACCGCCGAGCCGGTGCCGCCGGGGCTGTGCCAGCATCGGGGACACCCCCGCGTCCTCCCCGCGGCTGCACTCGGGAGCCGAGGGCTGGGCTGGAGGAGCCGGCGTGCGTGGCGGGATGCCAGCCGGGGAGGGAGGGAGGGAGGGAAGTTGCCTTCAAATTTCCAGGCGGCTCCGATGCGCCACGTGGATGGCAGGACCGGGACGGGGCACGCGGGCACCGTGCTGCCAGGGAGCAGGGTGGAAGGAGCCCGGCGGTGCGCGTCCTGCCCGTGGGGTGAAGCTGCCTCCAGCCCTGGTCCCCAGCCCTGTGCTGGGCCCGCCGCTGCAGGGTCAGGTCCCAGCCAAAGCTCCGTCAGCTGAGGTGCATCACCCTGCGATCCGTGGGGAAATGCACGTTGGGTTAGGAGCTGCAGGACCTTGGCAGGGAGGGCCGGGAAGGGCTTGGAGAGCTTCCCTGGCTAATGAGCCCGGCCTGCTCCTTCCAGTCAGTGCGCTCACAGATGAGCAGATAATCTCCCCCAGCATCTCCCTTCCTCCCCTTCACCTCTGCCATCCTCGTTTCTCTCCTCTGAGAGAGGATTTGGAGCTGGTGCCCTGCAGCTCCCGCCAGCCCCTGCCCTCCGGCCAGGCTCTGCAGCAGCTGGCACGTGCAGGAGGCATTTTGGGCACGGCGCTGGCGCGGGGGGACCGGCTGAGAGCCTGCAGCCCTCGCTCTGCTTCTGTTTGCCCTAGGCTGGGCTGTGCCTTCCCCACGTGCCCAGCTGCCTCGGTCCTGTTCAGCAGCTGATGGCTGGTTGGTACCTGCAGGGCTCTCCTTCATGCTGGCAGCGCGCTGTAGTCGGGGGTGGCTCTCGGTGTGCTCTCCGACCTGGTTTGTGTTTCCCTTCCCCTTCCCACCGCTGCCTGGAGGTGCCCGGGGATGGTGCAGGGGTGAGCAGGGGCCACGCGTGGTTACCAGGAGCAGGGCCATGGCCTCACCCGGCTGCTTCCCGAGGAGCCTGAGGTCAGCGCTGCTGGCGTGGAGCTGAGGGTGGGATTTCCTGAGCAGCCATCAGGAACAACCCCCCCTGTGCTCAGCGGCCGTGCTGTGAGGATGGACCCCAGACCTCGCCGTGTCCCTGCCGGGCCAGGTGGGCACCGCTGGGAATCCGCAGCGGGTGCTGGGCTCACTGGGTGCAGGTGGCAACCTCCTGGTCTCCGGAGGGAGCGTCATTTCAGAGCGTTCAGATCCAGAAGATAAATCAATGTGCTGCGAGGTTGGGCTGCTAAGAGCCTGTTCTGGGCTTTGCTCCTGGCTCAGCCAGATTTGGGGCGTGATAAGGCAGCAAAGGAGAAGAGAAGTGGGGGGAAAGAGCAGGGGAGGAGATGGGGCAGTGGGAGCCGAGGGGGCTGGCTCTCCCCACTTACCTTCCAGTGGATGTTGGGATTCTTGTGGCAGACGCTGTTGGGAGCAGGTAGAGGCTTTTCTCAGTGTGGGCAAACACTGGGGCTCCTCGTCAATCATCCCCTCTGCCCCCATGAGGAGCCAGTGCCCCCCACAGCCCCAGGCTGAGCCCCCACAGAGACCCCAGAGGAAGCCCACACCCCATTAACACCTCTGGATTTGTCTCCCCAGATTCTCCCGGGTGCTGCATTTCAGGATGATCCGCCCAGGAGCGCAGACGGGGACCCTCCGGGCACGTGGCTGCTGACCCCGTGGCTCTGGCTCCCCCCGGCCTCCCCACGAGCCGCTGGTGGCCGCTGCCCATGCGGAGGTGCCGGGCGCGCTGGGGACAGCCGCAGCTCCGCTCCCCCATGGCAGACCTGCATGGTGTGGGTGCCCCTGAGGAGCGCCAGGACTGACCGCCGGGCCCCCCTGCGCGCCACCCGCTGCGCCAACATGTCCGTGGAGTGGCTGGTGGACTGGAGCTGGTCCCTGGACGGCCTGCGGGATTTCATCGCCACGGGCATCCAGTCCTTCCGCGACTGCGACGCCACCGCCCTGGCCGCCGTCGCCTGCCTGCTGGTGCTGTTCGTGTGGTACTGCTACCACGTGGGGCGCGAGCAGCCCCGCGCCTACGCCACCGTCAACGCCCTGATGCAGAGCGCCGAGGCCAACGGCGTGCAGAACGGGTACGTCTACTGCCACTCGCCCGAGTGCGTGCGCTGCACGCACCACGACGGGCTCAACCAGAAACTCTACCACAACCTGCAGGAGTACGCCAAGCGCTACTCCTGGTCCGGCATGGGCAGGATCCACAAGGGCATCCGCGAGCAGGGCCGCTACCTCAACAGCCGGCCGTCCATCCAGAAGCCAGAAGTCTTCTTCCTGCCGGACTTGCCCACCATGCCCTACTTCGCCCGGGACGCTCAAAAGCACGACGTGGAGTTGCTGGAGCGCAACTTCCAGACCATCCTGTGCGAGTTTGAGACCCTCTACAAAGCGTTCTCAAACTGCAGCCTCCCGCAAGGATGGAAAATGAACAGCACGCCCAGCGGGGAGTGGTTCACCTTCTACCTGGTGAACCAGGGCATGTGCGTGCCCAGGAACTGCAGGAGATGCCCACGGACGTACCGCTTGCTCGGCAGCCTTCGCACCTGCATTGGGAACAATGTCTTTGGGAACGCTTGCATCTCCGTGCTGAGCCCGGGCACCGTCATTGCGGAGCACTACGGACCCACCAACATCCGCATCCGCTGCCACCTAGGTGAGTGCCCCGTGGGGGCCCTGCGTCCTTCGCCATCCCCCGCTCTGGGCAGCCTGGGGCACTGCTCCGGCCACCGAGCTGCCTCCCAGTGCGGGTCCTGGGTGTTAGGGTGCTCTGTGAGGGGTGCAGTTATTGCCAAGAGCAGGGCCAGGCGCTGCTTCCGTGCCGGTCCCAGGGCAGGGAGGGGGTCTCTGGGGGTCCCCTCCGGGGGATGGGGTGCTGGGCAGGCAGCGCGGTGCTCCCCGCCCCGCGGGTGCCCGGGAAGGGGGGAGCCCCCGCGGCACAGATGGCCGGGACTCTGCCACGCTGGAAGCGGCGCAGATCGCGCCGGGGGAGGCACCGCACGGGCCCTGCTGGCAAACACCGAACGCGATTGTTCAGCCAACTCCTCTTGGGTAAACACACGCCGGCTGCGACTGGCCATTTAATTGCAAGGGGGGGCTGGTCTGCTGAGCTATCTGATGAGCTCTCCTGCCCTGGGGAGCCGTGGGTGAGTCAGGAGCCAGCCCCTGGAGTGCCTGGGGGAGGCGAGGGGCAGGGCACGGCTCCTGGGCGCAGGGTGAGGCACGGCTCAGCCTGGTGCAGGTGAGAGCAGCGCAGAGCTGAGGCCAGCTCTCACCTGGAGCGTGCATGCCCTGGGGAGACGAGCGATGTGGGCCATCCCCTTGTCCTGCATTTCCAAAATCCTGCTCCATCTGCTTCCTGCTGCTGGCCCTCCTGCCAGGACACAGCCCCGTGCCCGGGGTGTGCCGACAGCTGCTCAGCGCGGTGACATCCCCACCTCGGTGCTGCTGTCCTGGCTGTCACTGTGCCCAGGCCGTGGTCACCTGTGAGACACCCAGTGCTTCCAGGTCAGCAGTGCCCTGCAGAGCCAGAACAGCAGGCACGGAGCCGAATCTTCCTGGGTTTTACCCCAGCCCCCCCATGGCTCTGCCAAGCACCTGGGCTCCAGGCACAGCCCCAGTCCTGCTGCTCCAGGGGACAGGGACGCATCCTGCAGAGCGCTGGCCCAGAAGGGAAGGCTGTGAGCTGCCACCTCCTCCTCCTGCCTCCCCTGGCTGCTCAGCTCGCCCCTTCCAGCTGGAGCGACTCCAGCTGAGGCCACTGTGCAGGGAAATGGGTTTGGGCTTTGCTGTCTTTGAAATGTTCATCAGGAAAGCAGAGCAGCTTTTATGCTCCCAGCTCTCCTGGGCAGCTGGGAGTCCCTGCTGTGCCTGCTTGGATTTGGCACAGAAACCCCTTCCTGCTCGTTAGCAGCATCGTCACCACCTGAAAGTCACAGGAGCTGCCCCTTCCCCTCCAGGCTGCACCTGGGGGCAGGTTGCTGCAGCAGCTGCAGCACTCGCCCTGTGCCACGGGTGGTGTTTCTGATGCACAGGGGTGGTGGGATCGGCACACGGCCCTAGAAGTGTAGAGTGCCTTGGGTTGGAAGGGACCTTAAGGTCATCTAATTCCAGCCCCAAATGCAGGAGGTAACCATGGCAATGGTGCAAGGTCAGAGGGGGAGCAGGGGCAGAGCCGTGCATTGAGCCCATCCCTTAAGTGCAACATTTTCCTCCCACTGCAGCCTTGCAGTGGGCAGTGTAATCACACCAGTGCTGGAGGAAGATAAGCGTGCAGGCTCTGCCTTTGGTCCCGAAGCTACAAAAATGCACCAGGAAACTGGCTTCCTGCACACAGCTCATGCCTGGGGCTTGGCAGCCGTGCCGGATACAAAAGAGGGTGCCCACGGCGCTGAGCTCGGGTTGGGTACAGCAGGGCACTGCAGGGGGGGGGCCCACAGCCCTGGGTGCAGGATGGGCAGGAGGGAGAGGGCAGGGGCCGAGCTGCACCTGGCTTGGGAGCTCAGCCCTGGTTTTGTTTGAGCCCTGCACTGAGCCCTGCTGCTCCTGCTCCTGGGGGGCAGCAGCCCCTCAGCTCCCCTTGGGCTCCACTTTGGCTGGGGGCAGCAGCGTGGAGCTGGCGTGGTGCTCGCTGCTCCCCGAGGGGCTCCCTTGCTGCAGGGAGCACAGCGCAGCCTGACCCCCCCCCCTCTTCTCTCCTCTGTGCCTGAAGGTCTGAAGACCCCCAGCAACTGTGAGCTCGTGGTGGGGGGCGAGCCGCAGTGCTGGGCGGAGGGGCGCTGCCTGCTGTTCGACGACTCCTTCCTGCACACCGCCTTTCACTGAAGGTAAGCGCAGAGCTTGGCTGGCGCGGCGGCAGCCACGGGGCTCACACGGTGCCTGCCCGGTCCCCCTTATCCACTTGACCTGGAGTCCTCTCCTCCCCGGGGTGCTCTGTGCCCTCACTCCCTGCATCCCTGCTGGGATCCTGCCAGCCCTGGGGACCCTCCGGCCTCTCCCCACCCAGTGGTGAGCACTGAGAAGCTCCCTCACCCCTGAGCGCTGTGGGGCTGCCCAGGCTCTGATGCTGGCAGCCCCGTGCCCCGGCTCACAGCGGCGCTGCCAGCTGCGGCCAGCCCTGTCACAAGGCTCCTGGTGTGCCCCAGGGGCCTTTTCCTCCATCGGTGGGAGAAAAGCTTCACGGCCCCCAGCACCCCGCTCCCTGACCCACAGGGCTGGCTCTGCCGCCCATCGTGCCCCAGGCTCCCCATGGGAGCTCCCGGTGCCTCTCCACATCGGGTCCCAGCCCCTCTGGCTTTTCCCCAGCCTCCCCCCATTTGCCCAGCTCGGTCCAGCCCAAACCTTTCGGTAGCTGCAACACCGGGCAGGGTGAATTTGTGCTTCCCGAGGCGAGCACAGCAGCAGGGTCAGGCTGGTTCTGCTGCCCCTCGCCGTTACCCGCGGGGCCGTTCTGCTGCAGCTCTCCGGGATTAGCCGGCATTAGTGCCGATGGCATAAAGCATCAAGCAGAGCTGCTTTTTGCAGGAGAGCGTGTGAAGAGGGTGGGAGAACAAAAGCTGTTGCTCCCACATAAACCCTGCTATGGAATGGGGAAATGCAGCTCGTTGCAGAGCCGTGGGGATGGGGAAGGCCAGAACAGCGCCGCAGCGGCTCCGCGCTCAGACGCAGCTGCGAGCACGGCTGCTGCTGAACGGCAAACTCAGCGCCGTGCCCCCTGCCCTGAGGAGCCACGCGCTGTGGGATCACAAACAGCGGGGCTGGAGCCCTGCAGGAGCACCCTGCCCTGGGTGCTGGAGGCACTGGGCTCCCAGTAGGAGCTGGGGGGTGGTTGCTGGAGTCGTGCAGGGCTGGGCATGATGCAGCGTGTGTGATGCTGGGGTGCACGCGGTGACCTCGCCAAGTGCCTCGGCTGCCTGTGCTCCAGGGGGTCCCGAGCCTGTGGGGCTGCCTGGTTCTGCAGCAGAGGCTGGCGTCCTGGTGCTCAGCAGGCACAGCTCGCTCCGGCACGAGCAGGGCAGGGCGCACGGCGACCCCGCGCCTCACCCCGCTCCCGCGTCCCTCCCAGGTCCCCCGGAGGAGGGTCCCCGCGTGGTCTTCATGGTGGATCTGTGGCACCCCAACGTGGCAGCCGCCGAGCGCCAAGCCCTCGACTTCATCTTCGCCCCAGGACGCTGAGGGCGCTGCCTCGCTGTGGGGGTGAGGGCAGCCGGGACCCGGCTTCGTGCTGGTGGTGCCACCGCAGCCCCAGCGCCACCGCCCGCCCCGGGAGGCCGCTCACGGCACGGCGCTGGGGGCTCCCCTCGGGGTCTTGTAAATGGAAACGTCGACGTGTCTCAACGCCCATCTCCTCCCGCCCATCACTGGCTTCAGGGATCCCCCTCCACCACGCCGGTGCATTTCCTTCCCTCCGTGGTTAGACGCAGCACCACTCCCGTACGTGTTATGTTGCTACCGTGTTTTGCAGTGTTCAGAAGTAGAGTTACCGGGGTGTTTGTTTGAGTGTGATAGTGTACAATTTCTCGTGGCCATCCAAAGGACAACGCTCCTGTGCCAGCACAGCCGAGCAGCGGAGCGCAGTGCTCAGCCTGCCCCTGTCCCGTTTTGGGGCCGTGCAGATGGACGGACAGACGGACAGACGGGCAGCAGCAGGCACCGAGCACCTCCTGGGGGCAGACCCAGCACCGGGCACGGCCAGCTCTGCTCTTTGACCTTGCCAGAGGTGTTACCCATTGCCTAAATCCCCTCCTTGTGTTATCGGCGACCCTTGTTTTCCACGAGTCGAGGCTGGGAAGCCCCCGCAGGGGCAGGGAGGCGTTTGGCTTTGGGGGGGCTGCAGCCGCAGGGCAGGGTGGCTCGGTGCTGCCGTGCCCCTGCCCGAAGCACCGCACCGTGGGTGCTGCCCCTGCGCTGCTCCTCTGCTCGGAGAGGGGCCGGGTGCCTCCCCCACCCCCTGCCCTGCCCGGGGGGACGCAGCCCAGCTCCGCAGCGACTTCTTTACAGACTTCTGAGTGATCAGATTGCAAGGGAAGGCAGAGATTTCAAATACATCCAAGATATTTTTTACACCTGTCTTGTTACCGAATATCCGAAGTGCATGATTTCTACCATGATTTCTACATGCATTGATTACTTGGAAACAGACTCTGAGGAAGCAGGCTGGCTTGGCAACTGTCTTACAGTTTGGTAACATTCATACAGTGGATAAGCAAAGATTATCAATAAACCGTTGTGCTGAAAACAGACGGGGCTCTGCCTGCTTGTGTAACTGTTCCAGGGTAAGGCAGAACGCTGGCGGAGCTGCAGCCTGTCCTCCGGAGGCTGGCTGGGACGGAGCAAAGTGCTGAGAATAACGGGAGCTGGGGTGGGAGGAGGTGAGGGGCCCGCGATGAGCGATGCCATAAGGGCACCGTGTCGCACCCCCGGCCCCGCAGCCTCCCACCCAGGGCATCGCCACCGCCCCCGCTGCCAGCACCCCGGGGGCATCCTCTTATCACCTCCCCGCATTTATCGCGCTCCTTGGGGCCGTGCTGACCCCACACAGCCAGGCAGCTGCCCCCAGCCTGCGCCCCCAGCACAACGCCTGCCCCAAGGCACTGGGAACTGCCGCGCTGATTCAGCGCTCTCCAGGCTCGGCCATAGGCCACCAGAGCCTGCAGGAGCCTCCCCGAAAGAAACAAAACAGCATTTTGGGGAAAAAAACCTCATAGCTGCACTGAGCAGAGCATGGGTGGGAGCTGCTGGACCTGGAGCATCTGAGGAGCTGGCAGGGAGCTGGCAGGCAGCACATGGGGTCATCCAGCCCCAGCCCCCCCCCACAAACCACAACAAGACCAGGCAGTACGTGGGACTCTGGGTGCCAACACCCAGGTCTTGTCTTGCAAATTTTATTTTCACAGTGATGTGTGCGTGGAACAGCAGCGGTCTGAAACACAGCACGGCCAGGAGGCAGGCACGCAGCCCTCAGACCCATCACCGCCTGTCCCAGGGGCTGCAGCCCCAATTTGGTCCCGTTAGCTTAAGGGGCCCCCACTCACCTCTGAAAACAGTGCAGACACTGAGCAGCGAGAGCAAGGGGTGAAGCAGGGCGCTGCAGCAGGAGCAGGCAGCAGGGGGTCGAGCTCTCAGGTCACAGCACCTTCTGTGCTGGTGGGTGGCTTGGAAGGCAGCAGCACACCTCACAGCCACTGAGCAGGCACGCGAGGAGGGGCGAGGATCTCCCAGATCCAGCTACAGAATGAAAAGCTGACAGCTGCTGGCAGAGGGCTGGGGGGTTGCAGAGCTTGTTCTATTCCAGTTAGCAGGAGAGCGCGCAGGCTCTGCTAAGCAAGGTAAGGCACAAAGGTGCAGCAGGGGATTGTTGCTGTATATTAAGAGGTATAAATAGAGCCCGAGGCTGACCAGGGCAAGGATAGTAACAGAACTGCAGGCAGGGGCAGTGGCTGGCTGTCATCTCTGAAAGCCAGCACTGCCCGACCACCCAGTGTCCTGCGTAGCTTAGAGCACAAAGAGGTTTTTCTTTAGGTCAAGGCACCCCAGGAGCCTCTGCCCGCGGCAGCAGAGCACCATGATTACAGTCAATGTAAACCAAACACCCCAACAGCTATTTGCTACCTTCAGTCTTTGGTAAGTGCTAACGTCAATGATACCCTGCAGTAGGACAACACGTGCTGCAGGAATAGGGCACCAAGGTGCCTCTCATCAGGGCAAGGCAGGCTGGAGTCCCCACAGGTAGCACGGAGCCCCATGCCTCCCACAGAAAACATGGCTTTGAGATTTTGCTTCTTGGAGACGAACCGTCTTTGCTCACGGGCTGGGACACGCTGCCTCAGAGCTCAAAGCAGATTCACTCCGTGCTTCAGCAGCTTCTGCTTGGCCTTGCCCGGCAAGCTGAAGGCGCTGTCGTGAGGGTTGGGAACGCCCGAGTTGCGGAGCGGAGCACCCAGCTGCTGGAAGTAGGTTTCCTGGACGGGGTTCCTGCAGGCGTACACGGCCGTGGAGGCGTTCCTGGAGGACAGGGGAGACAGCAGCAGTCAGGGTTGTGCAAGATCCCCTTCAGCTCCCAGTGCTGGGCAGCTCAGAGCACTGGGCTCCCAGCTGCTGAGAGGGACTGAGATCTATTTCAGCGAAGGAACACGATGCTGAAACGGGCACCAAACCCCTGCGATGTATTGCCAAAAGGCCACAGGGAGCCAGACCCTCCTTCCTTCTCAAGGGTCCAGGCGTCCTGAAGGAAAAAGGGTCTCATCCCTCACGGTCTGGAACCTCTTCAGCAGCATCAACACCCGTGTACCTGCCCATCCGCAGAGAGTCTCCCTGGCAGACCAGCCCAGGACACAAGCTGATATCAAACACTCCTCGTATCCAATGCCCTGTCCTCCTGCAGGGACCTATCCCCCTGCTGCTGCCCGTACAGCAATCCCAGCACAGCACCCCTGCAGCAGGACCCATGAGGTTAGTTGTGTGATGAGCCCAGCACACGGGTCAGACACGGTCAGCAGGAAGCTCAAACCATTCATTAAAAACCAGCGTCAGTATTGACCTGGGAGAGATGCGAGGAGGCAAAGCAAAGGGCTCTGTATTCCTCCGTGAGAGCGGAAAGCAGCAGCTGATATGTTTGCTGACACCCTTCTGTGACAACTCTCCATAAAAGCAAGCAGTTTTAGTCATCTTGTTACTCAGTCTGATTCACACACTGAGTTGCTTTTTTTGGGGCAACACAGAATGCGCCAGCTTCCCCGGCACAGGATTTAAGGAGCCAGTCAAGCTAACGCGAACCACGGAGCTCTCCAGCATTAAAGCCTATGATTCACGTTCCCTTGGCAGGCAGCATCGCAGAAATGAAGCAGTAATTCCCAGAAGCATCTTTATTTCATCACGTTTTGGACAAACAAGCACGGCCAAGCAAGCAGAAACCCTGCACACACACAGCAGGAGCACCCTGCCCGAGACCAGCTGCGGGACTGGGAGCGCTGGAGCACGGGGGCAGCTCGTGCTGGGGCTGTGCTGCTGCCTGCGATAAGGCCATCCTGCCTGGCGCACTGCAATCCAGTTTGCCACGCACATTACAGCGTGTTTCCAACCCAACAAGCCGTGCAAGACAACAAAATCTAGGTTGCCAATTCTGGGTGCTTTTGGCTCCCGGCCGAGACACCAATTATTAGGAAGAGCTATATTTAAAACTGTGTCTTAGAACCTTATGGTGCCGGGAACCGGCGATGTTCTAGTATTGTATCCGAATTCAGACCTGGGGCACAGCTCGGCTGCGCCTCCAGCTCACTCGTGCCGGTGCCATTTTAGCTATCAACTCCCAGATCAACCCCCAGGCAGAATATTGAGCAGCCAGCCTCTGAAGTGTGGACTTCAGGCAGCGAGGTGACAGCATTGACCGCGGCAAGAGCCACCAGCACGGTTACAGCACGTGCCACACCTCAGCGAGCTGTACAAAAGGAGTTCCCCCCTTCCACCCGCTGTGTGTGCCGCACAGCAGCCCTGTGCCCGCAGGAGGGAGTGACGACCCCCCCTTACCTAATGACCCCCCCCTTACCTAATGATCATTTCGGAGGCAGTCGGAAGCTGGCTGAAGTCCGAGTGGATCAGAGCTGCAGCCCTCAGGAAGTGCCGGTCCAGGGGGCCAGGTGCAGGGGGCAGGTTGGCTGCCAAACAGAGCAACGGGGGCGTTAGGAGCCTGCGCTGGGGAGAACCGAGCAGGAAAAGGCTGGGGATTTCCCCCCAGTGCCTGGGTATGGCAGAACAGACTGCACAACAGCCTCGGTCTCAGCGTGATCTCAACAGGCAGCGGCTGATTTGTGCTCAGCCAAAGCCCGGTGTGCCTCTGCCACGTGTACACGGAGCACAGGGGCGACAAGGGAGGCCTTCAGCAGGCTAAAAACTCACTAACGATGGAGTTTCCTCGGCTGGGCTGTACAACAGGGCCATTTCTTAAGGGTTAACTGCACACAGCTTAGCAAGCAACGCCTCTGAGCTGTGAGGAAGGTAACCACAGACCCTGCTGTGACAGCGGCAGGCGAGGGCTTACCCGTGAGCACGTTCTGGATGCAGTCGTAGTGCGTGAAGCTGTAGGTCGCCTTGGCTGAGGACACGGAGTCCTTGGGCAGAGTCTCCCTCAGGTGAACTTCGAGGCCGTTCAGAGAAGCCAGGCTGCTGTGGTACTGCACAGGGCAGGAGGAGGCACAGGTCAGAGCATCCCGGGGGAGCGGGGGGCAGCATGGTGACCGCTGCCAGCAGGGCAGGGATCAGGAACCACGGTAACTTGGGCAGAGGAAAGCAGGGAGACAGGGACCAGAATGGGACACCCCAACCCCAACAGGAGCCACTGCACCGCCTGCAACCACGGCTCCCCCAGCTCAGCACGGGCCCGGTGCAGCCTGGAGGATGGATGGGATCAGCACCGAGCCTGCAGCCTCCGCCGGCCCCAGGATTAACTCCCTAATCCCGAACTCCCTAATACCCCCCCGCTCCCTCCTCCACTGCTGAGCGGATCAAGCCTGCACCCAGCACCAGGGCAGGGCCTGCCCTTGGCCCCAGCACAGATTTGTTTTCTCTCCGGTGAGGAGGGGAGGGGACAGCCCCCACCCCGGGACACGCAGTGGGACCCGGAGCCCGCCTGCTCTGCCGCAGGTCTGCACCAGGAGCTGCTCTGCCCGGGGTGATCCGTGCCGCCGCGCAAGGAGCATATTTTACCCTTCTTTGGTGTCATTCAGGGGCCTCAAAGCGTTTGATAAATTAATTACAAGCAAGCTTTGACATCGCTGAGAGCCGAGGGTCATTTGTAACCCACAGATAAACAAAAGGACAGAAAGCTGCGGCCGTGCCTCGAGCCCAGCGCGACGCCAGCAGCGCAGCCTCAACGCTCCCAGCTCCGTGTCCTGGAGGAGGGGCGCGTTGCTCCAGGAGGATGGGACAGGCAGCACAGCTCCAGGACATAACACCTGCTCCAAGAGGAAGGCTGTAGCCAGGAAAACCAGGAGAAAAATAAAGCTGGGCAGAGGTAACGGTTTGCCAAGAGGAGATCCGAAGCAGAAGCATGCCAAGATGAGCAGGAACAGGAAGGGGACGATGATTTGGCATTTCTGGTGCAGAAGGCTAAGGCGTCCTGGCCTTGGCTGATTTTGCATCCACCCCTTCCCTGGCAAGCCAACCCTGCGGGCTGTGCATCCCCTGGCGCACGGGGGGGTCATGGACACAGCCGCCGAGCCCCAGAGCTCAGAAGCAAACCTTGAGC